TTCGTCATTTAACTCGGCGCTCGCCTTTGCGCCGAACGACGAATTTTATACTCCTGTTTTTCTCTCTTTTTCTCTGTGACTTTTTTTGGCTTTTCACGTTTTCGGTTGGCCATTTCGTTGAGATGCGGTGAGGAAGCTTTTCACGATAATAGACCGCGATTCGTCGATACGTCGAGTAGCGCATGCCTCCATTGCTTTTGATGTCTCGTTTGAGCGCACCTACCTCTTGCGTGCCCGACGTATAAATAAACGGGGATTGGAGCAGCGCTGGCCAACGTTTCTTGATTTATTTGATAAATAAAGATATCGAATCTTTGAGCACTTGTACTTGGGATAGCAATTCGATTATGCCTACAACGTTGCAAGGAAATTATATTCGTTTCATCAAATACCTCTATTCCATGCTTACTTTTTATCCAAAATCCATCGTAAAATTATTTTTATATTTATTTTCATTGTTTGCAGACTGATATTCTCGTCGATGCTCGACACATTATTTGCGTTGTTCATTTTCATTATTGAGGGATTATATTTTGTCCAAAATGTATGTACAAGCTAAAAAAAAAAAGCTACTTTCTAACGGAAAAAATTGATGCATTGCAATATTCCGAAATAGTTATCATGTCGACCAACAGAACGCGATGCACATTATCTCTACGATTTACATAATATATAGATAAACATTTATTTTTCATTTCCTTAGATTCAAATTTGTCAGAATTTTTATAATATTGACGTATTATTTCGGCTATGATAGGATTTAGTTTCAATCTTATGATTTATGTTGTTAAAATTGGTGTATTAAATACATGCACTTCATAAATAAATGTTGCCTTCTTACTAATGTTAACATATATGGGTTACTAATGTCGATTAGGACTTGTAATTTTTCTAAATAATTAATAAACTATAGAAATAATATTATAAAACGATAGAATTTTTATTAAATTTTATCTGGTAATAAGCGTATACAATTTTTTAAATTATTGATTAAATTTATGAAGACATAAAATCTACAAAATTTGGTTTAATTAATTCGCACTAATTGCCTTTCAACTGAAAAGGCTTTTGATTAATAATAAAATAATCAAATTTATATCTTTCGTTTCGACAAATTATAACAATTTTCGCATACAATAGCCTTATTATCTTTATTTCTTTCAACATAATTCTAATATTAAAGTGCAAACATATTAAATAACAAAAGCAACCTCTATAAAAGTTTAAACATGAAAGAATAAAATTGCATATATATTTTTTTTTCCTGCATTAACAATTTTTAAAATATTTTTATTGCGTTCAATATTTATTTATATTACCAGAAGTTGTATGTAGATAAAAAATTCGAAATTATCTTTGAAACAACAACTAATTTATCTAAAATTATGTATATTTAACACAAAAAATTTTTATTTTTACTTATTACATTAAATTAAAGAAATAAAGAAAAAATTACTTAAATTAAAGTTAATTATATATACTATATTGTAAAGGATTTTTCAAAGGAATTTTAACAATTATTATGATAGATAAGTAACATGGATTATTATAAATTTGATATATTTTATTTTTTCTTTTTCTATTGTTATATTTTGTAGAAGGTGAATAAAAATTAGTATCTACATATCTGATTCACATATACATTTGATGTTGGAATTTTTAATTCGTCATATTCATTCTTTTAAAGGCACTTTGGACCACAAGCAGGTAGAAATTGATCCAAAAATTCGATACAGTGATGTTTATTTTTAAAATCTGTTCTTATAATTATATGCATAATCCACATGTGCATCTAATGAACAGATAATAACAGTATTCAAAGTAATCTTAAAATTAATTAACATTTTATAAATACGCGCTCTCTTTATAAATTCATTTTTTTTAAGTGAAGAAGTGATCAAAATAATTTTACACAAACTCATTTTTATATTGTAAACTGTACCGATATATATATACATATATATATATATATATATATATATATATATATATAAACATTTAATTATATCAATATATTGTTTGGCATGCATTATTCTGTTAAGGATTGAGTCTAAACAAATTTTACTCCCTTCTATTCGAAGGTTTTAAACAGTGTATTAAAAAGTATATTTTGTATTTTGTAAATGAGCTCAAAATACTTTATCGTAAAAAAAGTATTTTTCAATAATTTATTTATAAGCATTTTAATCAAAAATGTAAAATAGATTTTAATTTCCATTTATAAATATTGTGTATGGAGGCATATTTTCTGTTTAATTATTTTTCCGTTGTATATTAGAGTATGTAAATACTTGATTCAGAGGCTTGTTTCATATCAACCATGAAATTACTTTACTTACTATTTTTGTCGTATATTGTGGTTACTTATGATAATTAAAAGATTTTCATTTTTGAAAGTTTCTTAGGAACTTCACTAGTATTCTTATATATTTTTGAATCGTTATTATACATAATGATTACTATTAATTATTATTGTGTATAATTACTAAGCAGATAACATAATAATAGAATTGATCGATAACGATTATTATAGTCTATTAATTACAAAGCAGATAACGTAATAATTTATAGAATAATTTTGAAATTCAAGATATAAAATTTTATTATTTTAATTCACTTGGAAAGGGAATGAATTTTGTTATTTTATAATATTATTATTAATTTCAAAGTGTTAGTACAAACAGCATTTATTTACATATATAACGTAAAAAAATTTTAGTCGAGTGAGTTCAATCAAACATGGAAAACGAAAAGTTGAATCACAATTGCAGATAAATTCTTTCAATTATCTAGAGCGGTAAAATTGAGGCGAACAAAGAAAATACATAAATAAGCTATCAACTCTATAAATATTAGGAAAAACATTAATGTAAGCTTTAGAGAGTAACGATACCACGATTACCATGTCCACTTCAGAAAAGGAGAAATACAATGCAGCTACTCTGTCGTGAAAAGCTGGAGCACGTTTGCATGTACAAAAGGAGACGACGACTAGGGCAAGGCATGTTCAACAATCTGATCTATCGATCGATTGATTGATCATGAGATTCAAAGAAAATAAAAGGAACATACGAGGGTTGGAAGACTGATAGCCCACACACATACATGTGCATGGAAATAGATGTAATAAAGTCAGCAAGGGCGTAACCGATGTAACCTGAACAAGACAGGAGGGGCATCGGAAACTTGCATTGGCGGATTTTTACGAATAAATACGTTTCAGATTCGAAAAATATTATAGATTTCTTTCCTGACCAGATATTTTATCTCCTTTTTGCATTTATTCATGTCCCCGGTTTTACTGATTTAAACGTAAGTTGTGCTGCAAGAAGTTTTTTAATGCTACTTCAATTATTATTTTATTGAAACTAATATGGGATTTTGAAGAAAATTGGAGCTTCGCTGTAGTAATCCAAACCTATAGTAAAAAAATTTTCAAGAAAATGCATTAAAAGTAATTATAATATATATATATATATATATATATATATATATATATCAATTTTTACATCTGCTGTATAAATAAGTAATTATTATTCGTTTAAATTGCTTATTATCCTTATATATTTGTAAAATAGATACAACGAAACTCTGAATATTTCCAAAATATATTTAATTTTGAAAATAAATTAATATATGGATGAATTTGTTTAATAAAAGTAAAGTACAAATTACAAATTACAATGCGGCTGAATTTCAAAGGATAATTTTAAATAAAATTTTCGATATGGTATTTTTTATATGCTAAAAAATTTACATTTATATCATAAATGAATGAAGCATCATACAGAAATGTGTAAGATATTTTTATTGTCTGATTTTCATGTAAAATGGATGCATTTACAAACTTACTAAACTAAAACTTACCAAAATTACTAAAGCCATAATGTTGTCATGAAAAAGAAAAAAAATAGTGTAACTTACAAGAGTTTTTTCTATTCGTCGATATATTTTATAAATTCGTACGTACCTGTTCTCATAGCACGTATAATCTAATTTAAATTTTGCTTGCATAGAACTTTATTTCAGATAAATATTACAAACTCATTAACTTTCAAATAATTTAAATATTTCAAAATACGTTCGTTGTGATATTGAATCGTTCTCGCAAACTATTATGCACAAATATAATTTTCAATCAAATGGGACAATTTTCATTTCGGCAACAGGCACATTTTGTACATGAATTAATAAGTTTTTATTTTTTTTTTAACTGGGATTTATTTTCTCATTTAATGTATAGTCCTCGGTAACCATGCTCATTTAATAAAAAAAACCATTAAATGCATTGCTAAATCGTGCGTATACATTCGTGTGCTCTCGATTTGGAATAAATACTCGGCTTTTCGATTGACGCCATTTCGATTAAAAGTTATCACTTTATGATCGCTATTACGATACTTACAGAGCCTCTCACTACTATTTCAATAATCCAAATAAATAAAGAGTATAAAACTACGTAGCAAAATTATACAGTGATTACTACTTGTGCTAATAAACTAGGTAAACAATGTTGTAATTTCTCACGAAAAAAATTGAAAATTTGGTTCTTTACGTCCCCCTCCCCCCATTCTTATGAGCCACTATTTCCTTTCAACATTTTTATTATGCTTACACAGAGAAGGAAAAGCGATTATTACAAATTTTTCATATCAAATTACTTTATAAAGATCTATTCATTGTGTAATGAGTATTGCAAGTCCAATTCATGCTACGGGTATGAGTGATAAGAGTAAAAGATTCATCCAGCATTGATGTGTGAAAAAATTTAATTTCTCTTTCTTCGACCTAAGAGCTGAGATACTATTACTGTTACTTCAACGTGAAAGATCAAAATAAAATGTTTTTTCTCATTCTATTCAACTGCCTGAGGGGAATGAATCTAGTATTGTGAGCACGTCATGGGAAATGCTTTTTTTCACGAGACTTGAATTTGGTCGGCAATCATGGTTTCTACCAATTCTATTATATTTTATTATATTTTATTTATTTGTCTAAAGGGTCTACTACAAACACTTAAGCTCCACGCGGGTTATCCACTGGACCTTGTCAAATGTAACAACGATTTTGACGTAAGTATTTACAGACGACAATTGCATCGATTTTTCTCTGTAATCTGGTAAGCGTACTTAAAATTTTTTTTAATAATATAATAATATATCGTATTTTATTAAGAATATTCAAGTTGTCCAGTTGTACAAGTCCGGTTGTATAATTATAAAAGAATAATTATCTTATTTCAAACTATAGTTATTGACAGCTTTTAATATATTCTCCATAGTTTATTCATATAAAATTTATACTTTCAAATAATAATACTTTCGTTATTTCCAAGAGAAAATAATTATTGGAATCTTTATAAAATGATATTCTCAATATGATATTAAGGTAATTTCTTATCTTTAAATATAGTGTTTATGTAGAATATTATTATATATTATTATACTAAGAAATCATTATTTAATTAACTTGATTTTCTTTTCACAGTGAATTGGCAATTAATTTAAAACTAAACATATATTACATTTTTTATTTAAATTATACATCAAATCAAGGATACTTACAATTATAAATAACATCAACTCAAATTTATTTAAGAAAAAAGGAAGTTTTATTCGAAAATTTATATCATTCCATATAAAATAGGTTAAATTACTTTAATTGCGTAATATTTCCTTTATAATCTGCTACATCGATCGTATAGGAAATAAAATGCATTCCATTTGGAAAAATATCTCCAACATTAATAAGTAAATACTCAAAGAAACCAAATTTTGTTTTTCAGTTTTATCGATAAAAATACCATTTGCATTGAAATAATATATTTTTTTTTTAAATAAAGCGTTTAAAATTTGTTAAAATCGTTCTTCTTCAATACACGTAAATGTACTATTAATATTAATATTCACATGAATTTTCCACTGCTGAATTTATGTAAGAGGATACAAGCACAAGTATATAAGAGTAGCTAAGTAACTGTAACTACATGCGCCATGCATTATAAATCGCAGGTCCCGTAAGCACTGAGAAAAGGTATCAGCATACTTATAAGAACCATACACTTATAAGCATAATAATGATAGTAATAATATCTTCCTACTTTCTTGTAGAATATGAATCAGAAAAAAATACAACTGACGCGTGAAAGAGTTACTATTTATTAGTCAATCATTTTATATTATTCGTCTTCCTATTCGTCTCCCAATTATTTCTCCTTTATACTCTAATAACGTTAAATTTATTACATAAAAAGTATTTTAATAAAAAATTGCAGAATAATAATGATAATCAAGAAACAAAGATTTAATCTCAATAATATAGAAAATTGAAGCATATTTCCAAAAAACTTTGAATAATAGTTTTATCGCTACTTGCCGTAAGTTCCTGTGTTTCCTATGTTCCTATATAAAATATTTAAATTTTTAAATTTTGTATAAATTGCATAGTAGATTTCAAAATTATTTTGTCGTATAATAATAATATAATGCATATTTAAATTAAGTTAAATTACAACCTGATATAATTATATTTTTAATATAATGCGTTAAAATAGAAGCAGATACATATTAACATTATTTTATATTCTTAAGAGAAAGAAAAATATTTGATAAAAAAAACAATATTCGAATAATAATAGTGATAATAATAACAATAATCATGATGATGGTAATGCTGCTGATAATAATTATGTGAAAAATAATATAACTTCCAATAATAAAATTATTTAAAAAGAAATGTTTTTAAATAAAATGTCCTATATAAATACAAATTTGTAAACTAAAATGGATTAATTTAATTTTTTGTTTTTTTTGATTAATTAAATAATAATAAAAAACAAATATATATACGTATGTATTTTAGTAATTATTGTTTGTATATTCATCAAATATTCTTTCAATTCAGTTTCATTGATAAATAATATTTCATAGTTACAAGACTTTTCCATTATTCCAATAACGAAGTATTTATAATTTTACTTAACTGTAACTTAACTATAACTTACTTTTTTACTTACATTATGTATTATAAAAATTTTCATAATTTATCAATAATCATTAATATCTCATTAAAATTTACGTACTTATAATATAATTACTATGCAAATTATTATTTGTTAGTTAATTTCTACATAACTTTTTGTTACATATTGCATTTATTATTTTGTAAGGTACTTTTTAATACGTCACTGACTAAAGAAGAATACAATACACTGCGACAGTTAATTTACCAATGTGCATTGAAATAGGATTAGAAAAGTTTTAATAATTATTTTTAAAATTATACGTATCATACTTTTTCTGTTTTAATTAAAAATACACTAAACAATATTTTTTTATAATCGAAGATTCTAAGTTATTTATTTGGCGATCCTTAAGTTCAATTATTATTTTTTCCATATATTAATAAACTAAATTAGTATAATTAATAGCTAATTGTCCTAATTGTCTTATTTATATAATTACTTTTTTCTTTTAAACGTATTTAAAATTAACTGACTAATGATGACGCTAATGTGTCGAATGGAAAATTTACTAAAATAATTTCTGTGACATTAGAAAATCGTCAATACGTTATTATTTATGTTATCAGTTATTTTAATCAACCCTTTCACAGCAATTTCCGTTCGAGAAATTCAATATTTTTCATGATTAATTTAACATCGTTGTTCAAAAATACAGTATTAGAAGCTATTTGTTCTCAAAATTTATCTAATAACATATCTATCGAAATTTCATAACTATTGATCGTATATCGGGCATTAATTGTAACACTAAATCGCATTTGGTAAATTATTGAAAATTTACGTTATTTCGTTAAGTTATTTAGTTAGAAGGCCCAGTTTTTGGAGCGTCAAGGCATAATTTACTTAAAAATGACAAAAGCCTTCAAGTAAGTCACATCCAAAGATAAATATTGATGAACGATGTGTCGCGTGGACCCAAGTGGCGCCGCACTTTACCATCCACCACGTCGTTCATCGTAAAATTCCCTTTAATTTTCAAGCCACTTAGAGGCTCATTATAGTTGAGCGGTGGCTTAAAGCCAACGAAACGATAATATCAAAACATAGAAAAACACACAATCACCGCCAGCAACTGTTTTATTGCCTTTGCGGGGTCGACGCAGTAACTGGTGTAGTCGCTCTCGGCCGCTGACGAAGGGATGTTCACCCGTGGGGTAGGGGTGGGGTGGCGATCGTGGCGAGGCAGCTCTAATAAATCGGATGATTCGCCAAACCGAACAAGTTTAATTTCCCTCCTTCCACTTGCACCCGGCACCGCTCACCTGCGGCTTCGTACCGCAGACGATACCAAGCGCTCATGCTCCTTCGCCTCGTTGAATTGGAAACAGCACGGGGGAGAAAGACAGTTCTTTCCTTATAATTTTATAGAAGATAGTAAATTTCATTTTATGGTGCTGGCCACTATTAACAAAACGTCACGGTTTTACAGTAGTATCTCCAAAGTAATAGGCAAACACACAATGAAAAGAGAACATTACAGCTATTTCATAGAAATTACGCATTAATTTGTTTACTATTAGTATCTGTTGTATGATTAATAATAATTGTAATAAACCCTTGAAGTTTATAGTATAACCAAATGTATATAGTTTAGTGTGCGATAATCGGAATTCGTTTATTAGAAAAAGTAATTAATAGCATTACGACTATTCAATATTATTCTCATTGCGGAATAGCATAATTTCGTTTTTTTGTCAAAAGATATTAAATTAAGATAATTATTTATTGCTAAAATTCTAAATATCAACTAGTAAATGTGTCATTTCGAAACTTCTTAGATGATCCAATTATTTTAATTTTTAAATCTAATTAAAATCGAAAATTTCAGTTTTCCATCAATTGTTATTGAAAAATTTATTCATTAAAGTAATTATAATTATGATTTAAAATATGAAAATGAATACAAAAAACAATCTACATTTAAATCACTGGAATTAAGGAATATGCCTTTCGCTAAATCGCCATTTAGTGCGCTCAGAAGATTCCAAATTGTTATTCATGAATTGAGCAGTATGAAAGACCACAATAAAATGATAAATGCGTTTATCTATAAAGTTATTGTTTATATATTCAAATAAAATAAACTTCTTTTCATAAAGTAAGATGATATAAATAAAATGTGTTCTACTGCCATAGTGAAAAAATACGCAATTAAATATTTATAATAAACTGACAAATAGCAAGTAAAATCTGTACTTTTTTACTCTCATGTGCTGATCTTTATTTATATGGTTTGTATAATTTAAGAAATTATGTACAAGCTCAAGCTGTAAAAATTTGAATGTTTTATATTTATTTTTATTTTTTTATATTACCAATTTATTTATGAAATTTTTCTGAAATAATTCAACTGTCAATACGAAAATGGAGATAGGATTTTTATTTTTAGACGGCATATTTTGTGTTCAAATGCGAGCATTTGATATCGAAAGTAATTGAAAAAATTTTCAAATGAATGGATGTTATCATACTGATCGCTTTTGAAGATTTTTCACAAATATTCGCTTATGTTTTGAAGTGCATATGTAATCTAAACAAAAATCTTTTCTCAAATTATATACTCCTATATATTTAAATGTAATTGAATCACTGTATATTTCATATTTTATTATAAATAAATATATCTCTTTGATATTTTCAAAGATGATTTATACAAATAAAATGCTTAAGAATCTTGAGTCATCAATATTTTATTAATTTATCAGTAATTTTTTTCAATTTAAAATTAGATATAGTATGTCTGTGTGACTAGGCATTGTGTTCGCGCGCGCGCGCGTGCGTGGCTGCGTGTGGGAATTTGCATACGTGAGCCGATGCGTATGCGAGAGCTGTATTTACGTGCTTGTGGATCAAATATCTTTATACGAAAAAAATTACTCGCGCGTAAATACAGCAATTTATAACGTATTACGAAAGTGTTTTAATAAGATGTTTTACTACAAATATTTATTGTATCGCTGAAAAATGTTTCGAAAATATTTTCTAAAAAATTATAAATTCAGATTTAAAGGATTATTTTTTTGAAATTCCCAACTACATAAACTATGT